ATTTGAAAAAAAAAAAAAAAAAAGTTATTTAAAAACACCAGGAGAGACCCGGCGAGGGGGGTAGAGGATTTGTTTCTTCTTACGATGCCGAGGATGGGTGTTACTGTGGTTTTGCCGCTTCGATATAGCTGCATTAATTAGCAAGGGGACAGCCAGGGTCTCCTGCCGCTGCAGAAGCGTTGCTTGGGCAGGGCTCAAGGACCGGGCACGATGCAGACAGAGGCTTGCGTGAGGAAGAGGACGGCTCCGGCAGCCCCTTGACTTCAGTGCAGAACCTGAGGACAGCCTCTTTTGGGGGTGGCGGGAGGAGAGAGGCAGGGAGAAAAGGAGAAGAAACATAGTATCTTGGGAGCTGAGGGGAGAGATTGCACGGTGTGAATGATGATGTGCATCGCTGAGGTGGCGGTGCCCAGGAAGGTCACTGGTGGAGGCTGGAAACAGAGCTCCGGACAAGGAGAATTTTGCGACAGGGTTAATTAAAAAAACTCGACTCTCTTCATGTCCTCCTGCTCAGTGGGCATGCGGTGGAGGGGGCAGCTCTCCTTGCCTTCCCCACCACAAACACTAGCAGCCCAGCTCTGACTGGTGCAGGCTTTCTGCATCCCCCCACTTGCCACTGTGACTTGAGAGGAAGGAAAGAGACTTCTAGTTTCCATGTCTAGCAGGGAAACTGCAGCAGGGAAAGGCTGTGTCCTGAATCCCCACGGACCTTTAAGGGAACTGACACACTCCACGCCAGTGGAGCATGAGCCACCTCCCTTTCATTTGACTCCATCGGTTTTTAATTACTATTCGAAGGACAGGATGCAGAAGCTTCAGAGCAGGGTCCCATCATGCTAGTTCTGCACAAACCCACAAAAAGAAACAGTTGCTGTGTGTCAGTCCATGCATTTTGATGTGCAAGAGCAGACGAGCCCCCCCTACACCAAAGCAGGAAAGTCAGCGCTCTCTGGTAAATAGTTCCATAGCATTTACCCTTTATAATGGGTTTAAGGACACTGCTCACACACACACCCTGGTTATATCAGCGTGAACAACTGCAGAATGACTTGGGAAAAACTGCAGGACTCACCATGTCAAAAATCATTATTCTTTATCAACTGGATCGTGGCAGTACCCGGAGGCCCCGCTCAGGGCTCACAGTCCCATTGTGTCGGATACTGTAGACACATGTAATAAGAGAGATGGTCTATGCCCAGAGAGCTTATGATCTTAACCCATGATGAAAGACAACAGGTGTATACTACAGACCCATGGGGGAAGGATAAGGGAAAAGCAGCCTTGAGAAGAAAAAGCAACAGGCCTGGCCAATGACAAGTATTTGGTGTCAGAAGGAAGTTTTAAGGAGATTTGAAGGAGAACAATAAAGGAGCTTTATGGTTATTAATGGGAAGGTTTTTCCATGAGTAATGGCTAACTTGGAAGAAAACATAAAATTGCTTGTTAGGAAATGGACTGCTGAAAAGTGAAGGTTTGTGCCACTGGCAAAGCAGAGGGAATATTGCAGAGTGACTGAAGGTCCTGGTATCTGGTGTGCTCTCAGCCTAGAAACAACTGGGAAAGAGGCTTCTATCTCCTTTCCAGTGCTTAAAAATTTACATTTCTAGTCCCAGTGAAGAGAATTATATGGAATTTTTTTTTTTTTCTCTTGTCCAGGCATCAGTGTTTTCTATCTTGTACTTCACACCAGCATACCTTACAAAAAATATTTGAAGGTAAAGAAGAAAGTATTGGTATAGTTGGTTTTCTTTTTAAAGCAACTTAAATGAAAGCCTACAGATTATTTGCTATAGGAAGTTTAGTGTTATAAAAGTGTTATCTAAGTTGAGGCTTTGATGTCTGAATTACTCATAAGTATCAAAGCCACACATGAATTATGCAGGACATCCCCAAAATTATACCCATCTGTGAGTAGGTGGTGTTCCAACCCTGCTTCACATAAAATCTGTGTGATGTGTAATGTCAACCTTACCCCTTACAGAAGTTTGGCTTTACTGATAGCTGGGGCTGTATTAGAAACCTACTTTTATTCCCAAGACAATGAGACGGGAACGTCCCTACCCCTAGCTCCCCTCTACTAGGGATTCACACCCACTTCCCTTATACCCTCTTGGAATTAAAGACTGCATCTGCCATAGTGAGTCATCAAGAGCTTACTCATCAGCTTTATGCAGGATTTTAACTCCTGCAAGCAGAGCTGGTCAGAAGGATCCTACATTTCCTGAGGAGTTCCTGGCACACATTCTCCTCATGTACCACACTAATGTGACACCTCTGGCAAGTTAAAAAAAAACAGTTGTTTTACCTGTACTCTGCCAACCAGTTCAGCTTTACATGAACTTTTCACATATCAGTTTTTGAGTGTCATCTAAATCAGCCTGCCATAAGAAAATGTCTTTTTTTTTTTCATTCTCCCAGATTGCATAATTTCACCAAAAGTATAGGATTCTGTTCTGGAGCTACAATGTATCTAAGTCATTTATTTCCCAGCCTTGCAGATGAAGAACTGAAAGGCTTTTATTAGAAAGAGAGGTGCTATAACTTTTCGGTGAAACACATGGCATTTGCCATTTTTACTAAAATGTCTTGAGTCAGCAAACTTTTAAAAGCTGCTTTTTTATAAACCAAGAATAATATAGAAAGTAATGCTATTTTCAGCTTTCTTTACAAATAAGAATTTTTAGTGTACTTTGAAGCATGATATAAACCTGGATATGATAAGAGTATTAATTTATCTCACCTCACTTGAGGCTGCTACAGTGCAGACGTCAAGATCTAAACTACTTGTTCTTTAATGCAGAGAAATAGGAGCAATTTTAGGGCACAAACCATCTGACCTATTCTAGGCATCTGCTTTAGGATGACATGACTCATGATCTAAAGATGCCTAATTCTTCCTCGTGTATGAAGGGAGCCTATATTAGATATAGACTTCTACATGACAGAGGCCTAGATAGGACTGGATGGATCCCAAGCTATAACCTGTCCTATACATGTGATTCAGCATTTCCCCAGAATGGCTGGAGAGGGCACTAAACTATTAATACAGCTGCAGAAATTAATCCTTTAAAGAAAGCTCATGTTATCTCAGCAATGAAAAGTTACTGAAAGTCATGATTATGAAACATTAGATTACCTGGAAATAAATATTTGTGAAAACCTATTCGCCATGTGATTCAGGTTAACTGGATTAACAGAGAAGTGCCTACAAGTTTAGAAAACTTGAGTAGAGGAATGTATTTGCTTTCTCACTTCAGAAACTGTAGAAAAAATAACAGTATTTATGACCAAAAAAAAAGACCTATAAGAATCCCAGAAGACAACATGAAATGACTCATTTCCCAGTTCACCAAATTTTCATACCAAGGAGTGTAAGCCATGCCGTTTAGATGGAAAACTCCAAGAAAACACTAGCATCAGTGTCAACATACAACACGCAGCCACAGCAGGGTATCTGACACGTATTTCTTATGGTGTTAGGGTATTTTGCCACATAAACGAATTAGTGAATATACATTAAATAAGCATTGGCAGAATATGATCTTTGTGACTGTCCTAGGGAGAGAGTTACCAGGTTACACGTTTTAAGATATCTTAAGTACAAAAGTAATAAAGTCATTATGGGTCAGATGCAGTTGAGTGCATTGACATAGGTGTTGATACAGTCCTTTGGCATGCCTGTCCTTATTGGTGATACTCGAAGGCAGGTAAGTGATGTAAGTGTGCAAGCTGCCAAATATGTTCAAAATTTCTCCGATGCATGTATTTATACATGGCTTGTTATCTGCTGGTTTTAGTAATGAATTGACTGTCCACGATGTTGCAAGTCCCTCCAGCTCAAAAGCCCAAGTGTCATTGATTGAAAGGAGAAAAGGAGAAGGAATCAGAGTTGCCATGTGTGCAGGTGACCGCAGAGGCCTCCACATGGCAAGCGATTTGCATGGCATGGCTCACAGGACTGCTCACTGCGAGAACGGGTCTGCCACTGTCCACCCTTTGCCTTGTGCGCCATCCCTGCCCAGGCACATGCAGCCACTGATCAAGGAGGTTTCTACCTTCTTCACGCTCCCGTACTGTTGGTGCTCATTTGCGACTGCGGGCTCGGCAGGGTTTGCCAGCAGGCTGCAGGGTGGCCCTGAGGTTCTTCCTTTGCCTGATATACTCCCTTTGTAGATCGTTCACTTACCTGCAAGATGGCACTCATCTACCAACCAACCCAGACCATCAGCTGGACGCTACTTACCAGTCCTAGGTGGGAGCTGCCACCAGCAACCAGGTGGTCGTTCCCTCCCTGGGGCCGGGGAGAAGGTGCCTCTCGGCGTGCGCCCAGCCCGGCAGGAGCTGGGTGCGTGTCCCCGCTTACGGCACTGCCCGTGCTGGCAGCGCAGCGGCCTGGTGGGCTTTCGCCCCGACGGAGACGGTGGTCCCTGAGGGCTGCGTGACGGCTCCATCCCGCCTTCTGGAACGGCCAAAGGTCTCGCTAGCTTTCCCGAAGGAAGCGATTGCCTCTCCACCTCCGGCACCGTGGCCACGCAGGACACTCCCTCCCGCGCCGCCCGGGGTCCCCGGGGGGGGTGGGGGAGCGTCGCGGCTCTCCCGGTGGCGCAACCTCCACGCTTGCTGGCGAGAGAAAGTGCGGAAAGTGTCTTAGGCAGCCGCGCAGCGGGGGGAATGGGGGCGGTTTGCATCTAGGCACTTCCCTTGCCACAGGCGGACGCCGGGCAGAGCCGCAGGTTTCCCCCTGCC